CGGGAATAAAGAGCAGGAAATTAAAATCTATTATATAACAAAAAGGCAGATAGAGTTTCTCAGTCGGATTGAAGTTGCCGCATCTCTTTTTTGCTTGCAGATGATTTGTTCTTATCTGGTCGAGCAATAGTTCATTGAAAGAAAGCCCTCAATTGATGACATAAAATTTATTCTACTGTCTTCTCATGTTAAGACTCACTTGCATTGCGTTATCAGTAGTTGTCAATGTCTAGGTCATGGATAAGATATGATTGAACTAAAAATAAGACAATCTCATAAATTGGTGATAAGTTCATGACAAAGGTTGAAAAAACCTTCAAATATGTAATTGCAAAAATAAAAACAAATGATCCCAACTGTGGTCATATATATCCTCAGCTCTCTTGCTTAGGTTGTTTCATTAATACTGGATTGATGAGGCCATCGGTTAAGGCGCAAGCTGAAGTAAGAGATGCTTTCAGTATGCTCTTAGCCTGCACCAAACACAATGTATGAATTTCTCAGTATGAATCAGGACAAAAGAGTGTACTCAATGTCAAATGTTTCTATAACCGAACATGAACACTAACCTCTTCTAAGCCAACAAGAAGCTTCAGTTCCTTGACATCGGAAAATGGGATTTTCAGGCTTTTGAGAATGGAAATGCCAGAGCAGGTACACAAGGGCGTTACAGTTAAATCGTCCATCACCATATACATGATTTGCCCATAAAAATATTGTGATCGCCATTTTGGAAATTTCGATATAGACACTACTGAACCATAAGAGTATTTAAAATTAGGGCCGAGTAGCTCATCTGTCATATTGAAGAGCTTGTCACGTTGTATATTCTCTACGGTTTTGTAAAAATTGTCTATATTCTTAAGAAGAGTGTCACTGCCCAGCAGCCACTCGACCCCTCCCAGGGGAAGAGCCAGCAGGTTAAATAGGAAATCTACAAAATCATCATCAGCCTCAACGAACAGTAGCTTATTAGTTGATTCTTGCAAAATGGCTTTCACTCTCATTTTCTCTACGTTACAAATTTCTGTCTGTTGCTTGATCTGATTATTAGCGGGTCGGATACCACCTCCCTCACACTTGACCGGAATATTGTGAATTGCCTTTTTTCCAAGAACGAGTTCAGTGAGTGGAGACCGGGAAAACAACAACCCCCTTAGCAAATCCATTATCTGAAAAAAGATGCTTACATAGTTAAAGGCTCATAAATATGATATTAAAGATAAAGAGATGGAAACTCGTCACACACACCTCATCGAATCCAAAAGTCAGATTCCTTTCCTCAATCCCCTTAGTGTCTGTAATGCCTGAGTTGCGGAAAATATGCACAGCAGAACCCATCACACCAGGCAATACTTGGAGATCATCAGTGATTATTAAGGTTGATTTACTTTTAATGAACAACCCATATTTAGCATCTACACCTCTCGTGTCATTTGTTGGCTGCGTGCCATAAATATTGATTTTCAGTCTACAACAGTTCTCCGGAGACGGGTTTGTCGGGTTGAGCAGCAGGTTCTTATTGCCCGGTGAAGGGAAAAGGCCACTGTCTAAATTGTGCAAGCCATTGTACAAAGTGGTTAAGCTTCCCAAAACAGGGACCTCATCCCCATAGTGTTTTTTCAAGAGTTGAACAATAGTTCCCAATGGCAGTGTAAGGAAGCTTAACAGAACATCAACGAAATGGTTATCAGCCTCGACATATAGAACCTTAGTTTTTTGCTTGTTTATCATGGCTTTCAAGGTGAACCTGAAGTCCTTGGGTTCAGACATTATGTAGCCACTTTTGTGTGCAATTTAACAAGGAAAAAAAGGAAAGATCGATGACTATCAATGTCAAGATTGTAAAGTTGGCCTCTCATTTTTGTAAGCACTAGTTATATAAACCAAGGGTCACCTCACTAATTCACTTTCCACCAACAGTCTCTGTCCCACCAAATTCCAAAACTCCTTCAATATTTGGACTCACCAAATTCTTCTTTAAATTAGACTCTAAAAACATTCCCCTTTGCTTGGGCACTTGTGAAGAAAATACAGAACCCAACAGAGGTGGTCAACCTTTCATATTCATCCACCTCAAAATTTACTTCCAATTTTATGTCCCTTGAAATCATTAGCATAAGGGATGTTAGGCAAATACACATATATCAAACCCCTCGTCAAGTACTTCAAATCTAAACTTATCATTGTTATCAATCATGAATCTTTATTATACCTCTTCCAAACAATGTTAAGTTCCAAATACTCGATGTGAAGTTCAATACAGAAAGAGATGAGATGACACAGTGGACTCAACAGCTAAATCATCAGTCACCATATCCGTAGTTGACCCCGTTACATTTCTCCTGTCGCCTATGCGCAGATTTTTGTACCATGACTTTTTTAATATCATCTTCTTAGATATGATATTATGTGGCACGAGCAATATGCCTCTCAGAAAATCTATAACATAATGAAATTGTACCTCAAAAGTTCTGTGATTTGGTCATTAGATTTAGAGACTTTCATGTCCATTCGTGTCCCTACTACTACTTAATAAGCCAACCTGCTTCTAGAAATGATTATTTAGATTCTAGAAAGAATTAGCATCCAAGAAACATACAATTTGATTTCTTGTTTGTNAAAAAAAAAAAAAAGAAAAAAATATTTTAAGCAACTAAGCATGAAAAGGTATGATTACGATATTACGATCAAATTCTAAGCAACAAAGTATTTCAATAAAACATCTGTAAAATCGCTGAAAAGAGGACTTTAGTTTTGTAATCGACATCCTTAGAACCATACATTGTATCTGCTGGGGATTAAGTTTAAGTCAGGGTCAAGTGAGTATAATAGTCTGTCCCACAAGATTCCAAGACTCTGGCTTTATATGTTTTTTACCCGGACATTTCCCATGAAAGTTGGGCTGGTTATCTTAGGACCATTTCATGATGCAGTAAGACAAAAAATTTAAGACTTTTAAGAATCACGCTTAAGTCATCATTCACCATACACGTTCATGGTCCCTGAATCCATGATAGACCACTTCCAAGAATGTATTTGGAGCAGCGAATCTAATTTCCTATTCCACATAATCGTTCTTCCTTCCTATTTCTCCCCAGTTTCAATATTCGATGTTGGTAATTTTTAGTCAATCCCGTTAAATTTTGACATAAAATTGATGGCAATGTGTTCACGGTATCATTGTAACTCTGAGATAAGCTATTCCCATCAAGTCTTACATTTGAAAGTCATTGAAGTAAAAGCCACTTGCATTGCATTAGCAGATAATATCTCATATATTGCTGATAAGTTGATGACAAAGGTTAAACAAGCTGCAAAAAAGAACAGCACTTTGCAATTGCTAAAAGAGGGACTAGTCGTGAATACGCACGACCCCAAGTTCTGATCATATATATCCTCCGCTCTCTTGCTTAGATTGTTTCTTTAGTAGTGGATTTACGAGGCCATCGGTTAATGCGCGAGACGAAGTCAAAGATGCTTTCAGTATGCTCATAGCCTGCACCAAACACAAAATGAAGCTCAGTATAAACCATGATAAAGAGCGAAAGAGAGCATATTCAACGTCAAATGTTACCTCTTCCAAGCCAACAACCAACTTCAGTTCCTTGACATCAGATGACGGGATTTTCAGGCTATTGAGAATTGAAATGCCCAACGCAGAAGATGAGGGCTTCACGGTTAGATCGTCAGTCACCGTAAACATCATTGGTCCTTCTACATATTTTCCATAATTTCCTGGCCCTTCTAAAAACTTAAAATCAGACAGATTTAAACAACTCGCCTGGCCTTCCGGAAACTTATAACGGGTCACCTTAATACCCACAGATGAGCCAACATAGCGCGAATGTGACAAATAGCCACCTCCTACATATTGATAAAAATACAAAGAAGGGAAATCTTTGTGGGATGGTGAGGGAAAGTGCCTTTTCGAAATGTAACAAAATGGTAACTTGGGCTCGAGTAGATGGGTCCTTATTTTTCTTTTGTTCTTAAAATAATCGTCACCGTTCAAATCCCCTACGCTTTTGTAGAAATTGTCTATATTTTTAAGAAAAGTGTCACCGCCCATTAATAGCTCGACCCCTCCTAGAGGAACAGCCAGCATGGTAAATAGAAAATCGACAAAATCATCACCGACTTCAGCAAACAGCAGTTTATTACTGGATCTTTGCAAAATGGCTTTCAGAGTCAATTTCTTAAAGTTAAAAGTTTGTATCAGATACTTGATCTCATCAATTGGTAGAATACCACCTATCTCACAGTTAACCTCAGTATAGTCGTTCGGTTTTATTCCAAGAATGAGTTCCGTGAGTGGAGCTTGGCACAATAATGACCCCTTCAGCAAATCCATAATCTGACACACACACACACACGCACACCAAAAAAAAAAATAAGAAATTGCTTGAATAGTTGAAGACACATAAATGTGGTACTATAGAAAGAGACAGAGACCAATTACTAACCTCATTGAGTCCAAAAGTTAGATTCCTTTCCTCGATTCCAACTGTGTCAATTATGCCGAATTTGCGGAGAATTTGAGCAGTAGAACCAGTCCCTTTAGGCAATACTTGGAGATCATCACTGATAATTAAGGAGACTTTACTTGTAATAAACACACCATCTTCATCATAATACACACCATCTTCATCATAATACACACCTCTCCGGTAAATTGCTTTGTCCAATGGCTTCCCGCAATCGCACTTCAATCCACTGAAATACAAGCCCACATTCGAGAATTTGCTAAAGCTACAATTTACATCTCCACATTTGAAGTACTTTGTGCGCTTCGTCTCATCGACCTTGATTTTCAGCCTACGGCATTCCGGTAATGCCTGAGACGAGCTTATCGGGTTGAGAAGCAGGTTCTTACAGTCTGGTGTCCTGAAAAGGCCACTGTCCAAATTGTACAAGCCATTGTACAAAGTGGTTAGGCTTCCCATAAAAGGGACTTCATCCCCATAATGGTTTTTCAAGACTCGAACAATAGTTCCCAACGGCAATGCCAGGAAGCTCAACAGAACATCAAAGAAATCGTTATCAGCCTCCACATATAGAACCTTAGTCTTTTGCTTGTTTATCATGGCTTTCAAGCTGAACTTCACATCTTTGGGATTAGTCTGTTGCTTTTTTCTCATGGCTTTCAAGATGAACTTCAAATCTTTGGAATCAAGCATTGTGTAGGCAGGTTTGTGTGCAATTGAACAAGGAAAAAGAAGGAAAGATTAATTACTAGCAATGTAAGGATTGTAAAGTTGGCCTCTCATTTTTATAAGCACCAAAAGAAATCAACAGTTGCTCACAGTCTCATCGAATTCCACAAACTCAGCCGAGATTTTCACCAAATTCTGTTTAAAAAATATGCACAACAATTAATGAAATAATGAACTCCCCTTTGACTGGGCACTTTTCAAAGAAAATACAGGTCCCAATGGAAGGTGGTCAACCTTCCATCTTCATACTTTCAACTTTATGTCCCTTCATTATTAAAAACACTTGCTGCAAGATGTGAAAAAGGACAAGAAAACACGGAATAAAAATTTAGTTAAATTTAAATTTCCTATCATATTTGTGATCAAATAAAATAGATGACGTTATCTTGAAACACGACCACCCGCACAATAGCACATATTTAACTGTAAAACTCATTATTTGCTATAAAACAAACTGAACCTAACACATTTTCACTTAATTAATATTATTTCCCTGGGAAAAAATATACCAAATAATTGCAGTACTAATTAGGAACACCAGCCGGAATAAAAAATGCTAGAGCCTCCGTGTGAAATGAGAAGAGTTTTTCAGGATCATCACTTAATATCAAAGTGGAGGCTTCTACAATAAAATCTTGATCAACATCATGTTTGGCAACCGCAAACAGTTTACATGCAATTTAGTTTTTTAAGAGCTTTCCCACAAATCCCATTGAACAGTATCATTGTACATGCTGAAATAGTGCTTTCCACACCCTGAGGTTTCATGTGTTAAGTTCGACTAAAATTAAGATTTAAGATTCAGTTTCAGTCAACTACATTTGGTCTCGAACACAATTTCTTGGGTTTAGCAAAATATGTATACCAGGCTTTGTATGGAAATGGATAACATTGAAGTTTACTAGGCCATTGCAAAAGTCTAATAAAATGATTTAGCTCTGGGCTTTCTGTTGTTCAGAAACTTACATCAAATTTCATTTATAGTATCAGGCAGAGGTTGAGGATTTTGTAGCTTTCTTGATGTATGTGTAGATAACCACAACAGCTATATTTTTTTTTTTTTTTTTTTTTTTANGAATTCAGACCAGGAAATTAAAATCCAATATGTAATAAAAGCCCGACATAATTTTATTCTACACGTCGTCTCATATTCAACCTCACTTGCATTGCATAATCAATAGTTGTCAATGTCTAGTTCATGGAAGTAAAATAGGTAATCTCATATATTGCTAATAAGTTCATGACATAGATTGAAAAAGTTGCAATATGCAATTACGAAAAGACTAGTCATGAAAAGTAAACAATCGGCACGACCCCCAAGCTGTGGTCATATATATCCTCCGCTCTCTTGCTTAGGTTCTTTCTTTAATGCTGGATTGATGAGGCTATCAGTTAAGGCGCAAGCCGAAGTCAATGATGCTTTCAGTATGCTCTTAGCCTGCACCAAACACAAAATGAATTCTCAGTATAAATAAATAAATCAGGATAGTGAGTACAAGAGCTTATTAAATGCCGAATGTTTCTGTATCAAAAAATGAAAACTAACCTCTTCAACACCAACAACCAGCTCCAGTTCTCTAACTTCATATAAAGGAATACTCAGGTTACTGAGAACAGAAAAGGCAGAGGATGAAGACGAAGGCGTAATGGTCAAATTGTCAGTCACCATGAACATAGTTGGGGTTTCTACATAATTTTCCAGCCATGGAAAGCTGTCTACCCATGGCTCGGGCTGGAGTAGATGATCGCTGTGTCACTGCCCAATAGGCACTCGACCTCTATTAGGGGAAGCTGCAGTAGGCTAAATAGGAAACCCACAAATTCATAATTGGCTTCAGCAAAAAGTAGCTTATTAGTGGACCTTTGCAAAATGGCTTTCACGGTCAATTTCTTAACGTCGCATATCTGTTGCTGGATCAGATTAACCGGTTGTATACCATCCGTCTCACACTTTACCGCAGTATAGTTGATCAGTTTTTTCTTTAGAAAGAGTGCCGATAGTGGAGCCCGGGAAAATAATGACCCCCTCAGCAAATCCATTATCTATGGAAAACAATATGAAATGCTTAAATAGTTTAATAGTTGCACATAAATATGGTACTGTAGAAAGAGAAGGATGCTAGTCACTCACCTCATTGAATCCGAAACTCAGATTCCCTTCCTCGATCCCGATCATGTCCATTATGCCTGAGTTGTGAAGAATTTTCACAGCAGAACCCATACAATTAGGCAGTATTTGGAGATCATCAGTGATAATTAAGGACACTTTTCTAATAAACATCCCTCCAATGCCATCAATATCGTGTCTATATTTGAAGTAATCTGTGGGTTTCGTGTCATCAACCTTGATTTTCAACCCACGACACTTCTCTTCATACAAGTTTTCCGGGTTGAGCAGCAGGTTCTTATGGTCCTGTGAAAGGAAAAGGCCACTGTCCAAATTGTGCAAGCCATTGTACAAAGTGGTTAAGCTTCCCAAAACAGGGACTTCATCCCCATAGTGTTTTTTTAAGACTCGAACAATAGTTCCCAACGGTAGTGTAAGGAAGCTCAACAGAACATCAGCAAAATCGCTATCAGCCTCGACATATAGAACCCTAGTTTTATGCTTGTTTATCATGGCTTTCAAGGTGAACCTGAAGTTCTTGGGGTCAGACATTGTGTAGGCTGTGCAATTGAACAAAAGGAAAAAGAAGGATCGATGAGTAGCAATGTCAAGATAGCGTAGTTGGCCTCTTGTTTCTACAAGCACCAAAAGAAACCAACAGTTGCTCGAAAATTGGGCGGCGATTCCAAGATTTTCACCAAATTCTGCTTCAAATTATGCACAACAATTAATGAAAAAATGGAGTCCCTTTTGACTGAGCATTTGTGAAGAAAATACAGGAGCCAATGGGGTTGAGTTGGAGGTGGTCAATTTTCCAACTTTCTATGTCCCTTTGAAATCACTTTCTGCAATTTTTTTGCTTTTGAGCTGTCAACATTAACTCAATCCTGAATCTTGCTTTTACATTCAGTCTTTGCTAAGAAAACTCTAGTTTCGAGATAACACTAGCAAAATGAAACGAAATAATCAAAAAAATTGTTATGGTTCAGTTGGTCATCAGATTTTTGGACTTGCAGGCCCATTTCCTACCCCTAGTTGCATTTGCAAGGTCAATCTGGTTCATAGAAATGATTCTTTAGATTCTATGAATTACTTCTGTTGAAAAATCATCAAATTTCACCTTGTAAATCATTTCTAGCTTCCACAAAATGTACAATTTGAGTTCTAATTTGTAACAAAAAAATAAAAGAAAAAGGAAAAGAAATCCATGTAGCTTAGTATGAAAAAGATATGATTGAGTAAAAATTCAAACACAATTTAGTGACGACATTTGGTCTCAAAACTCAATTCTTGGTTTGGCAGCATTTGTTTATCAGACTGTATCTGGAAATGGATAAATTTGAAACCAGTGGCCCGATTTTTTGGCCCTTTTTTACAATGACTAAGCCATTGTACAATGTGGTTAAGCTCCCAACTAAAAGTGTGTTGTGTCCATAATGTTCCACGAGGATTTTTGCCATTCTCGAACAGAGAGATCCATGAATCGGGATCCTGATGCATATAGATACAAATGGTCCAATGGGAGCATTCCACCCAAAATTCTAGGAATTCGTTGAGAGTTAGAATAGATTCGTAGACCGGGTCGGCTGATCCGTTTTAGATTTAAAAACTTGCTTGCTTTCCCTGTACTATTCCCTGAATTAATTGCTGCTTCTTCCTCGAATTCTATCTGATTAGTGAGGATTGGCCGTGACTTGCACCCGCACCTAGTTGAAAAGGAAGAGGTCTTTCTCATTGAGAGACAGAAAACGAATACTCAGAGGACTTTAGTTTTATACTTAGACAACCTTAGCAGCAAACACTGTATCTGCAGGGGATTAAGTTTAACTTTAGCATCATGTGGTGTATGAAGTATCCTTCATTAAGGCCATTAATAAGGCCAAAACAATAGTCTTTCCCACAAGATTCCAAGAATCTGTCTTTATATTTTACCCCAACATTTCATTTCCCATGGAAGTTGAACTGGTTACATTAGAAGTACAATAAGATAAATACAATAAAATAAAATAATAGTTCAAGACCATATATAATATAACAAGCATTGGGATCAGAGTCCCACTGGCAACATTTTACATATCAAATCAAGATTGTAAGCTACAGCAATCATAATCTCGAGCTTCCTAAAAATCGAACTTTTTCCCAAACACGAACTAGCAATATCAATACATTATGGCACCCAACATCTCCTCACTTTTCTTGCTTTGGCTGTTTCATCAACAAGTGATTTAGACCACAGGACAAAGCATGCTTGGAAACAAGAGATGCCTTCAATATGTTGAAAGCCTGCATCAGGAATATTTGATGTCAGTAAAAAAACAATTTTGCTCATTTGCATACAGAATTATATAATGTATACCTCTTCCAATCCAACACGCACCACCCGTTCAGTTACATCAGACAAAGGAATTTTTAACCTGCCGAGATTGGAGAGATATGATGTACTAGAAGCTGGTGTCACGCTTAAGTCATCATTCACCATATATATTCTTGGTCCCTTAAACAGTGAACCGAACTTGAACTCAGTAACCTTGAGACACGAACCTCCAATAAAGGGAGAATCAGACATAAAATCACCATTTTTAGTGCCTGGGCCTTGATAGTAGTACATTTTACCAGCTTCTTCTTCCACAAGAGGTAAAATTTGGTTGTTTGAAACATAACCATGAGGTAATGTTGGGTTGACAAGACTGGTTGCATTCTCACTGTCAAAAATATAATTACCGTCAATGAGATTGTTTGCGCTCAAGTACAAATTGTGCACGTTCGTAAGAAAAGTTTTACAGTCCAGAAGTCGCCCAACCTCTCCTATCGGAATCATGAGCAGACCAAATAAGAAATCAATGAAGACCTCATCAGCTTGAGCAAACAATAGCTTGTTGGTCGATTTTTGCATAATGACCTTCAAATCTATACTTTCGGAATAATCGAAAGTTCGCTTTCTTTCAACCTTAGGTGGAGGAATTATCAGTTGGGCTTGCATTGCCAAATTAATTTGCCCGTTGCTAATAACGATGTCCGTCAGGGGCGTTCTAGAAAGAAACAGTCCTCTTAGCAAATCCATGACCTAAAAAAAACATATATTTAGAAAAAGAAAAAAAATATATCAAGACTAGTTAAGAAATAATGATAGATAAACAATACAAATGTATCAACACTAAACCTCATTATATCCAATAGTCACATCCTTCAAATCCCAATCATTGTCTGTAATGCTGAGATTGCCAAGAATTTGCAAAACGGACGATGGAGAGTTTGGCATTATCATAAGATCATCAGATATTACAAAAGTCGATCCACTCACAACAAAACCTCCATTACTGGACAGCATTTTATCACTCCTCAACGGCACTTTTCTCGTCAAAGGTTTCCCACAACCGCATGTTGCAATACCCCAATACAAACTCATATTCTTCTTTTTGGAATAATCGCAAGATAAATCCGGGCAGCAAAAATATCTCGTGACCCAATAATCATTGATATTGATTTTCAAGTTACACTTTGCGGCAGATGGACTCTTTGGGTCGAGCAGTATTCGCTTGCCTGCCTCTGCCTCAAAATTAGAAATGTCCAAATCAGCCAAACTGTTATACAAAGTGGTTAAGCTACCGATTGCCGAGCATGAGTCCTCATAATGGCTTGCTAAGACTTTCACAATTTTTCCTAAGGGAAGGGTTAGAAAGCTTAGCAGAACATCTACAAACTGGCTGTCGGCCTCTGCAAAGAGGACTTTGGTTTTCTGTTTGTTTGTGACAATTTTTAAAGAAAATTTGGCGCCTTTATTAGACATTGTGTTGGGTATGTGAGATGAATGATGATATGATTTCACAAAAAGAAGATTTGTTGCCATTTTATAATGGCTGAGAGCTTAAACCAAGAGTCTGTCTTTGTCCCATGATGTTCTAACTTCTAAGTACATGCATGAACCTTTTGTTTTCCTCTATCCCAGGCTATTAATAATGTTACAATAAATTTTATCGAGATAGGTTCAACTCGGTTGATGTATATAATGATTAATGACAGCACGTCTTGATTAACTTTAGTGGGAAATTTCCCTGTTTTGTTGAAAACTTTCGAGTAAATTTTTTGCTAGTTTTGTGTGCATTCAGTGAATAATCAGGCCTGATCCACTAATTAATTGTTCATGGATAAGT